TCAACCTCGACCTCTCCCAAGTATTGCGGCTGCAACATCAAAAACAGCTTGCACAAACTGTGCAATAATATTTTTGCTTGTCACACAACACGCATTTCCACACGTCAAAGATGAAACCATCCATTCCTGCAGTTCGAACACTATCGGACCTTCCAACACCTTCAATATTACACGTTTTGAAAATTCCGGCAACGGAATCCCGTCATTGTAGGGCAGAAGATTGCAGACACCCCCCCCGCCCCCCAAATCAAATGGGAACCAAGGGTCTGCATTTGGAGGTCGCTTGGTGTGTTTGTTTTCGTTCTTTATTTTGTTTTCTTTCCCGGTTTTGTTCAGCGAACCAATGCCAAGAGAATACAACATTTCCAGGCTCACGTCCCTGCATCTTAAACGCATTTAGTGTGATTTGCTGGTTCCGTTTTCCCGAATGCGTAGCAAGGGTTCCCGTTTCACTCTGGGGGTATGGGGGTTGAGGGTGTGTTCGCTCGACGTTGCGTTTATGTTCGCAACCGCCAGCAACCGTTCGCAACCGTCCACGCGAGGTCGCTATGGCCGTGCCTATGGTAAGTTCTGCAAAAGGGGTCACTTTTGGAGGTTTCAAACGTCGTGTTGCCTTGTTTCGCCTGGCAGGTGTGGCACTTCGTGACATTCAGACGTGTTTTGTAACGTGTCGAAAGTTTTTTGTGTGGCAGGCGCAATACTTTTGCGTCATTTTCAGAAGATGAGTTCCAGTCTTCGTGGCAGGCGCAGCACTTTGGAAGTGTCCATCTTCATTTTGCGTGGCAGGCACTTTAGACGCATCGTGTTGCGTGCTTTTGCGAATCGCATTGTCAGGGCTGCGTCAAGTGGCGACACCGTGGCAGGCGTGGCATTTTGCGAGATGTGATGAAAATTGACGGAAGCCTCGCACGAAACATCGTGGAGGTTCATAAGAAAACTCGTGGGAAAACATCGATTTTGAAACTACAAAGTGTGAAAATTGGAAGAAGTCTCGCACGAAATGCTCGTTTTGATGCTCCAACATGTCTCCTCTCGAGTCTCTGGTTTTCCTGTGGCCTCGCCCTGTCTATGGGGGAAGCTGCAAAACCTATCCTGTTTCAAAGTTTCAAAGCCAGTTGTAAAGTGGTTTTGCGTGACAGGCGCGGCAGTTCGTGACATTCCCATGTGTCTGCGAACGTGTGGAAAGTCATTTGGTGTGGCAGGCGCAATACTTTTGCGTACTCTACACTCTACACTCTTCCACAGACTACACTCCACACTCCACACTCCACACTCCACACACAACACTCCCCACTTTACATTTTACACTGCGCACTCCACACTGTACACTCTACACGCCACACTCTACACTATACACTCCACACTCCACACTCTACACTCTACACTCCACACTCTACACTCTATACTCCACACTCTACACTCCCCACTCCACACTTTACACTTCACACTCTACACTTTACACTCCACACTCTACACATTACACTTTACACTTTACACTCCACACTACAGTGCGCACTCCACACTTTACACTCCATACTTTACACTCTACACTCTACACTCCGCACTTTACACTCCGCGCACCGCACTTTAGACTTTATACTTTACACCTTACACTCCCCACTTACACTCCCCACTGCACAGTTTGTACTCCACACTCTACACTTATACACTCCACACTCAACACTTTACACTTTACACTCCACACTCCGCACATTACACTCTACACTCCGCACTCTACACATACACTCCAGACTCCACACTTCACACTTCCACCCCACACTTTACAATTCACACTCCGCACTCCGCACTGTACCCTTTACACTCCACACATTACACTTTACACTGTGCACACCACACTTTTCACTTTACATTTTCAACTCCACACTGGACACTTTACACTTTCTTTACGCTTTTTTTGCACTTTCTTTACAAACCACACTTTACACTCCTCACTCCACACTCTACACTTTACACTCAACACTTCACACTCCACACTCTACACTTTACACTCCACACTTTACACTCCACGCTTTACACTTGACACTTTACCCTCCACACTCTACACTCCACACTCTACACTTTACACTCGCCACTTTACACTTTACACTCCACACTTTATACTTTACACTCCAAACTTTACACTCTACACTTTACACTCGACACTCCGCACTTTACACTTCACACTTTACACTTTGCACTGTGCACTTCATACCCCACGCTTTACACCCCACGCTTTACACTCCACACTTTACACTCCACACTTTACACTTCACACTCTACACTTTACACTCCGCACTCCACACTTTACATTCCACACTTTACACTCTACAATCCACACTCTACACTCCACACTCTACACTTTACACTCAACACTTTACACTCCTCACTCCACACTCTACACTTTACACTCCACACTTTACACTCTACACTCCACACTCCACACTTTACACTCTACACTCCACACTTTCCACTCCACACTTTACACTTCACACTTTACACTGTGCACATCACACACCGCACTTTACACCCCACACTTTGCACTCTACACTTCACACTCTACACTTTACACTCAACACTTTACACTCCTCACTCCACACTCTACAGTACACTCCACACTTTACACTCTACACTCCACACTCCAAACTTTACACTCTACACTCCACACTTTACATTCAAAACTTTACACTCCACACTCCACACTTTACACTTTACACTCAACACTTTACACTCCTCACTCCACACTCTGCACTTTACACTCTACACTTCCCACTCCTCGCTCCACGCTTTACACTTTACACTCCACACTTTACACTCCACGCTTGACACTTGACACTGTACCCTCCACCCGCTACACTCCACACTCTACACTGTACACTCACCACTTTACACTTTACACTCCACACTTTACACTTTACACTCCACACTTTACAGTCCACACTTTACATTTTACACTCCCCACTCCGCACTTTACACTTTACACTCCGCACTTTACACTTTACACTCCACACTTTACACTCCACGCTTTACACTTGACACTTTACCCTCCACACTCTACACTCCACGCTCTACACTTACACTCACCACTTTACACTTTACACTCCACGCTTTACACTTTACACTTCACAGTTTACACTCCACACTGTACACTTTACACTCCGCACTTTACACTTCACACTCTACACTTTACATTCCACACTCCACACTTTATACTATACACTCTGCACTCCACACTTTACACTCCACACTTTACATTCCACACTTTACACTTTACAATCCACACTCTACACTCCACACTCTACACTTTACACTCAACACTTTACACTCCTCACTCCACACTCTACACTTTACACTCCACACTTTACACTCCGCACTCCACACTTTACACTCTACACTCCACACTTTACACTCCACGCTTTACACTTGACACTTTGCACTTCTACACTCCACACTCCACACTCTACATCTTTCACGTCTATGTTGTTTACCTATCTACGTTTTTCGGAATCTGTACAATTATCATACGTGTGAGCATTCGGGTTCGTGGGCTGCATCTTGTTTTTTTTGTTTGCTTTCCGATCTTCGCAACTTTTTCATACACCAAAAGACTTGAACAAGGTAACTCTCAACCTATCCTCTGGGATTGGTCCAGGACATCTCCATCATCAGCGGCTCGGTGCTAATCCTGGGCAGCCAGGTGTCTATGATGCAGGTCTTGGGCTATAGCATCGCACTGGGAGGGATTCAGATCTACGGTATCGTCAGCCGGGAGCCGAGCAGATTTCAAGGCAGGGCAGGAGAATGGCAGATTTTGGTGGACGATGTTGGATGATGGGTAAAGAAGGGCCTTTGGGCCCAATGGTTTGGGGGTTGAGGGGGTTGAGGATGTGAGGACGGAGGTTTGCTGGCTTCCAGAGGGGCGTTTAGATGGGCAAAATCCATACTGGAACAAACAGCAGCGATGAGATTCCGTCAGAATATCCTGAAAGCGAAAACAAAATTACTGTACATAGGACTCATAGGATGCAGAATTCCACAGAAAGGGATGCTGTATATCTTCGCAAACTTGAACCATTCATAATCCAAGCAGCGGATCTTTTTCATGATATCATGGCGGATTCACGATCCTTAGGACTGCACTTCCAGGTTGTGTTTTTTGTTTTTTTCTGAAGATGGGGGCCTATGGTTGAAGATTTGTGTTCCACAATGTCTCATCCGTTGGCCCCAGTGTTCTCCCAGATTCGGGTCTTGTTCGTGGTCTTTGGCAGCATATGCGCAACCCTGCAGCACACATGGTGGCTCCTGAAGGTGTCGGCATGGAGGCTTGGCATATCGATTTTGGAGAATAGCTTGGCTACCAAATGAGAAATGGGTGTAAACCCAAAACTGCTTTTACTTCTTTTGTATGGAGCCTTGATGCTCGATTTCAGAGGACAGTCAAAAAAGCAAACACATCTCGATTGAAACCAGTTAATTTGAGGTAGTTTAGCTTGGGGGCAACGTATATACATATTACTTACTTTCCTTTCTTTGCCAAATCAAGAAATTGATAAAGCATACTGAATGCTTACAGGATAGAAAATATGACCAGATATGATATAACATCTTTCCACATCTTGCACCCAGGAAAAGTCAAAGTTGGAGACTGATTCTGCAGATTTGGAGCTGGGCAAAATGGGTGATGTAACTGGCGATACAACTGGTAGCATCAGAGACTCCCGTGAAAGACACGCTTTAGTCGCGACGAAAGACGAGTGTGATTAAAGCATATTGAAGCCACAAAGGGATCCTGATGGATTCCCAGTCCAGTAGCTTCCTGGTATCACATCTATCTGTCGCAACATCTACTAACTCTGTTCTTGTGGAAGTGTTTTTCACACTCTAAGCATTGAACCTTGACTCATGGTATCTGAAAGACTGGGTGCCTGACATTTGCACATTTGCCTCGGGCCTATAATCAGCGCCTGGAGCAACTTGAAAGTTCAGCAGCACTTTCTGGAAAAAAAGGTGATTGGTGATGTGTAAATTGGATTAAATCGGGACATGCCCACATATGTTGCAAGATCGGAGCTCCCAACAGATGCGCATGAAGTTGTTGCTCGTTCCATTTCGGAAGCAAGCTGTCGGTTCCTTGTGGTGGAGGCAATTTCAGGCTGATTCTAAGGCCTCTTTGGCTCTCAAAGCATTTTGCCATCATTTTGCCTGTCAGAACAGTCCATTTTGGGTATTTTGAGACAAGTTGCCTAGTTTTCAGTGGTCTTTGCAGCTCCACCTGCCGCAAATCCTTCCAGGATGGAAATGGATTTGTCTAGAGGAGACTGCACCACTGATTCCCAACACCAAGACAGACCATGATGGACGTTGGATTTTCTCAATCATTGTTCCATACGGGATTTTTGTCTGAATTGAAGTAAGATGCCTCAAGCACATGCATCAGATGTTTTGCCCATCCGCTGCTGCTGTGCGGCTCGTGAATATTGCAGCTTGTAGTGGTCTTAGATGCCCAGAGAGGATAGGGTTCCAATCCTTTTGGAGCCGTGTACGAACACCAAAAGAACAAATCTTGAGCGATGTGACGACACCGTCACTGAATGGTTCCACAAAAAGAGGAGTCAGCAGACTGAATAAGATGCTTCAGCAGCTTAGTAGTAAAGCTATGAATGGCATCATCATATTTTGATATATTTTCAGGACATTTATCTACCATAAGCAACTTAAAGGTTGGGCTTGGCCGTAGCAACGGCCATGCCGAAACGGAGTCGGTCAAAGGTGTGATGCCTCAGGAATATCATTATTTCATTTGGCTTTGTGTCTTCAGCTGGTTTGTTTCATGTCTCTTGTGAAGATGCCTTCTTTCTGAAGGCACCCTAACTTTGGGAGCCCGTGGAAAAGGTTGCAAAGCTGGTGATATGTGTAACGCAGTGAGTCCAAGGTTGGGGTGAAAGAAGAAGGTGCCAGTCGTGTTGCTTTGTTTAAGGTCCTCCAAAGTCACCGACTTGAGTGCCTTGTACACCGTTTGTGATAGCCGGAAAGGAGTCTCATAAGCGATCTGCTGGTGAGGGCATGACAGGTGTGACTGTGTCCAACTGTAGTGAGCAGGTGCCAAAAGAGTGGGAATCCAAAGGACGCTGTTTGAAGTCTTCAAATTGGTCACCAAGGTGCGTTGCAGTGCAGGTTTTCTTGGGGCTGCAAACTCTGAGATTCATGGAACCAGCCGCTTGTTTTGAGGACATGCCTAGATATGCCCCGATATGCTCCTTAATTCCAACATCTTGGACACACAATTCGTCTTGTTTGTGAGTCGAAAAAAAACTGCTTTTGCTGCGGGGTCCACCTGCAGCTAATTCTGAAAGATGAAGCTGAAGTGGTTGGTCCATGTTGGTCCTATCATGTCCTATCCTTTTTCTTTTCTTGTGGATCTAGGCCGACTGCAGTGATCCGCCATTGGCCCAGCGGTGGAGTCGAGTGGCACTGGGATCATGGGATATCCATTCCGTCCGATGGAGTGAGGCCACCAGACTCCGATGTCGCTGTCCACTTCGAGGCGGGTGCCACTGGATATGATCTTTGTTGCCTCCAATATTTTTCTGAAATCCAGACATATTCAGACTTAGTTTGTTTGTAGAACATGATTTGTATTTCTTGATGGTTTTGATGGTGTGTTAATGGTGTTGATGCTATTTCTGAACGGTTTCAGCAACTTCTTTGCAATAGTTTCTTTGGTGGAAACCTGGCAAGCCATGGACACGTAGCTTGTGCCAGTCGAGGTTTTCTGATGTGGTGTTACAATTTCCCTTGGCTCAAAGCAAACACAAAAGGGTTGTCGAAAAATTTGGGGAACCCCAAACCAAACCAAACACTGGATATCGGCATACCTATTCTTGAGCGTGTCTGCAAGTACATCATAGAACCGCCGGTGCATTTGGAATTCTCGCTTGATTACGGAGCTTTTTCTCAATGAAACATTTTTGTTTGGGAAGTGGGACAACTTGCCAGTATGTAATGTATGTATAATTGGTGCCCTGCACGGCAAGCACCTTTTGAACTGTCGAGGAGACTTCAAGATGATATCGTCAAGAATGAGATTCCCATACTTGGTCATGTTGATTTGATAGTGGTGACACTTATTTCGTATCAATTCTACCTATATACTTTGGATCTTTAAATGTGACTCCAATACGACCTTCAGTACCTTGAACCCATAGACTTCTGGGTCGCCACCCTCCCACAACACCATGCTGGGGTGTTCTGGAAGGTACCCAGCGCTTTCAGTGAGGATTCAGCTCCTTCACGATCGGTGTGTAGCCCTGGTCTAGCTGCTGCTTACGGTCACAAGGGAACTTGGGGGCTCTGGGAATGATCACTTTAGAGGGGAGCAAAATTGTCTGAGGATGAAGGAAAGACGGCTGTTGATGCACCGGTCGAAGAAGTCGCGCGTGGTGATTGGGAAATGAAGCAGTCGGGATCCCAAATGAAAAGGCGTTTCAAGCTGCCTTGAAGAGCATGTTCAAACAGTTGAACTCATGATGTCACGGTTGATCATTCGCGGTATGATGATTATGATGAGCATAGGCCCGCAGTGGCGCCAGAATTTTCGAGGATAGCGACCTCAGAGGCCGGCATTGCGTTGGATCTCCTACCCCCAGATGGTGGTCATATGTTCTGCCCCCACATCCCATGGAATTTGATATACAGTATCTACTCGGGTCTGGCATCCTGAAATCATAAGTCTAATATGGAACCAATCATCATTGGCAGCCAAGAGCAACACTGCTGGGGTATCACTAATTAAAACACACTGAAAAAGCAGGTCTGAAAATTGGGATATGTTACAATTTAGACGATGCATTTCATATAATCGACATTTGAGGGGGAAAGCGTATTTCCACTACATATGGCAGCAGGCAGTTGGGATCTTGATTATGTTCAGCTCCGCCGGTAGTGGTTCCTTTAGGATCCTTTTCATGGGTATACAACCACCCATGGTTGGTCATGACATCTTACATCCATTCCAAAATTGTTGGTGCCTTAGCCCTGCAGGAGCAACCTGGCTCCGAAGCCATTGGAGCTGGACCTGTTCCCACCAGTCCCAGCCTGGGTGCGCTGCCGCATTGGGTCGTGCGGGGTTCGTGTGGTTTCTTGAAGCAAGAGCCGGGATCTGCCCCGGGAGTGCCCCGTATCTGCCAAGCCGCTCAAGGCGCTCAAGGCAATAGGCCCGCAGACCTTTGGCTCTGTGTCACCACCAGGCGATCAAACAGTATGACGTGTGCTACCACCACTTTATTAGCATTCGAAAGCAATTGCTTAACTAATTTTGCTCCTTTATGCTGTGTGCATTGGCAATCTTGGTGTATTCTGAGTCTAAGAGGAGATAGCGGAAAGCACAGCCCCTTTGTTTGATTTCGGCATCAACCTGTGCTTTCGAGTGCCATGCGCTGGGCTCGTTCAGAGCAAACATGGCCCCAATGTCTGCGAGACCAACGAGCAAGTGACATGGCAGCCACGTAGCATGCGAAGCTTGAGAATCAAGGATTCCTTAAGTCTTGAGAAGGGGTAATACAGTTGGTTATGACATGTTATGACTCTGTTCCCAGCTCTGACTTTGATCCAAGTTAGGAGATAGAGACTTTGGATGACTTCGATCTAGTTCCAGCCAGTTCGGTCTCGACACCAGAGCCTCTTCCCATATCAACTTCACTTGACCTGAGGCGACGCAGCACCGATGCCGAAGGAGGCGGTGGGAGACATATAGCATGCACGGGAAGCCTCGGGAAACTGTTGTCCATATCCCTTGGTATGGGAATGTATGAGAAGAAAACTATGAATCTGGCCCGACAGAGGGTGTTCACAGTTGTGATTCCATGGTTGAAACGGGCATTTCTGGGTTATGTCCGATGCCGGGTTAGCTTGTAATATCTCATACAGGTACACGTCAAGACACACTCCTTCCGCAGGCAAATCTTCATCTCGCCCAGCATCCGCTGAGATGACGGGCAGCCGAACAGTGCAGCGCTTGGTGTGCCTTGGATTGCCCAGTTTATTGTTGGGGTCCCTGTTTGGAGCAGAGTGGCAGCGTCTCTAGGAGATTCAGGGCCGGAAAGCCCGGCCTTTTGAATGCCGGCCATAGGTGCTTCATTGAATTCATCGTATGGCTGATCAGTTGGATGAATGAACGAATGAGTGGGTGAGTTAACGAATGAGCGGGTTAATGAATTATGAATTGATCAATGAGTGGGTGAACGAATGAATAGTGAATGAAATGAAATGAAATGAAATGAAATGAAATGAAATGAATGAATGAGTGATGGATTGCACTAATGCACTAATTAGTTCATTAACCATTTAATGAATGGAGGAAGAAGAAAACCATGAATTCCTGACGCGATACATGAGCTACTTTGCTGTGAGCGGCCTGTTCTGCAAGTCAATTCTTTGCCCGCACAGCCATCGCAATACGTTCAAAGACCCACCAGTCGCATGCATAGAAGATGGCCCCCACCAAATCTTAAACTATCCATTGCGCTGTTGTTGCAACGCGTTTAGCAATTTAGGGAACTTGTGCTGGTAGAATTCTTGCTTGTCATTGTAGTTCTGATTCAGAGGCATATCACCCAGATTCGATGTAGAAATGACATCATTGGCATTTCGGAGAGGATCCTGTCGGATTAGATTCACATTACATCGCATTACCTTGCGTTGCATTGAAAGGGGGCATCGCGTCGCATTGCAGGACATCACATCGAATTAGCACACGTGCATAGATAACTATTGGGCAGTTGTGCACACACACAGATATACATAGACTAGACGAGTATGTTCATAATATTAAGGGCTGCCGCCCCTGCCGCCGACCCCGGAAAAAACTTTTTGGTGCTTCGCACCTTGAGGCTTTCGCCCTTTTTCCTATGTATATTGTTGTGAAATATATTTGATAGGTTGGAACTTGTATTTGTAAATGGGTTTTTCATTTGGGTGTATGTTAATACCAGTAGTACCGCACAAG